ATGATAGGAAAGGAAAGGAAAGGAAAGGAAAGGAAAGGAAAGGAAAGGAAAGGAAAGGAAAGGAAAGGAAAGGAAAGGAAACCAAATCCTAATTGGGAGTTTAGGATTGTGAGGTGCTGAATTAAGCTTTGAACAGTATGAAGAGGACTGAATTGTATTTTAGCTCTCCCAAAAGGAAACGGAGCCTCAGAGTTTAAGATAAAGCTGTCCTGGAGCTCCTCCTGATGGTCAAAAGATGAAGCCGGCAGGGCAAATATCTGCTTCACTTCAGTGTACAGAGGCCAGCCACACATACACAGTATACTTTCGAATGCAATCTTTCCAACCAAGGTTATGTGCTTCCCTTGTGATCTAAATTGCAACGATTCCTCACTCCGAATACCTATTTTTCATTAGTTTTGAGATTACCATACAGCCAGGCAGTGGTGGCACACACCTTTAATCGCAGCACTTGGGAGGCAGAGGCAGGCAGATTTCTGAGTTTGAGAGTTCGAGGAGGCTAGCCTGGTCTACAAAGTGAGTTCCACGACAGCCTGGGCTACACAGAGAAACCCTGTCTTGAAAAAAACAAAAAGAGGGCTGGAGAGATGGCTCAGTGGTTAAGAGCACTGACTGCGCTTCCAGAGGTCCTGAGTTCAAATCCCAGCAACCACATGGTGGCTCACAACCATCTGTAATGAGATCTGATGCCCTCTTCTGGTGTGTCTGAAGACAGCTACAGTGTATTCATATATAATAAATAAATAAATCTTTAAAAAAAAAAAAAAAAAAAAAAGAAAAAAACAAAAAGAGAGAGAGAAAGAGAGAGGGAGAGAGAGAGAGATTACCATACAAAGTAATAAGCTTTGTAATGGAGATCTTATCCCCCTTCTCCCACTTTTAAGTGAAATATTCTGTTTTCTCTTTCTAAATGGTTCTCTTTTTGTTGTTGTTGTTCTGGTTATTTGTTTTTTTTTGTTTTGTTTTGCTTTGCTTTTTGAGACAGGGTTTCTCTGTGTAGTCCTGGCTGTCCTGGAACTCACTCTGTAGACCAGGCTGGCCTCGAACTCAGAAATCTACCTGCCTCTGCCTCTCAAGTGCTGGGATTAGAGGTGTGCGCTACCACCGCCCGGCCCTTTTCTTCTTCTTCTGTTTGATTTTGAGACAGTGCCTCACTATGTTGTTTTGGCTGTCCTAAAACACACTAGGTAGACAAAGCCCTAAACTCATAGTGAGGGAGATAGAGAGCTAGGAGAATTGGAGGTCGGCTTGGGCTATGTAAGAGCCTGACTCAAAATAACAACCAAAAGCTCCGAATGAGGTTAACTTTAGAATTCAGAGATTCAGACAGTTGAGTGTTATCCAGGCTCTGCCTTTATCTGCTATGTACATCCATGGCCCTTGTCAACCCCACTTTCTTTCCATGTCCCTTTGAACTCTCATTGGTGTCTATACAGGTCTGCAGTCTCTATACTCAGGAGGCCAAGAAAGGAAGATCAAAGCAAGTTTGAGGCCAGACTGGGTTACATAGTGACTTTCAGGCCAGCCTGGGCAAAAGAAATCCGGCCTTCATTAGCTCCCCACAAAACAAAGAGTTTGTGGATTCAGAAAAGCTATTTGTTACAATCCCCCCTTCATGTCATCTCTTCCTTCTCCACTTCCCAGGACAAAAGAACAGTTTGTATGAACTAGGACTCCTAATTTTGAGCAATGGAAATGGAGTCTCCTGAAATTAATGGAAAATACATTTATTGGAAAGAAATAAAGTAGGTTTCAGACAGGGATAGTTAGACTTATAAGCAAACAGAAGCCAAGACAAGCCAGATATGAGGAAGTCCTGCCAGTGTGAGCTCAGGAAGGGTCTGGTGAGGGCAGTGACAGCAGGAGACATGGCTGGTACTGAGGACCGCTGCCACCACTGGATATTGCTGCTGCTGCCAAGCCTGAGTTATAAACTATGTCACCACGTGTCATCCCGTGTTCCCTTCTGACGAGGGTATTACACTGGTCAAGGCCAGGTCATGAACCAGCATCTTCTCTGCTAGAGTGTCATAGACAGAACATTTGGCCTCTGTAGCCTTCTACTTTCTAGAGTAGGCATGAGGTTTTGTCTCTGATAGAGTCGCAGGAAGGAAAGTCTTCCTAATATAAAGGAATGTTGGATGGCAAAGCAGAGCAGAGCAGGGCAGGGCAGGGCAGGGCAGGGCAGGGCAGAGCAAACCACACCAAAAAGGCAGGAGTTGGAGAGATGGCTGGGTGGTTAAGGGAACCTGCTCCTCCAGAGGGCCCAGAGTTTGACTGAAGTACCTATGTCCCAGCGAGATGGGTCACAACTGCCTGTATTTTCCTGTAGGAGGAGCTCTGGCTCACACAATATGTGCACATGCAAATATATATACACACACACACATACACACACACACACACACACACACGCGGAAATAATAATAATAATAATAATAATAATAATAATAATAATATAATAGACAAGAGTCAACCTTTTGGTTTTGTCCCAGAGTAGTTATGTGCTATTTAAAAAAAATTATTGTATTTTTATTTATGTGTGTCGCTGTGTGTGTTTATGTACATATGTGTAGATGCCCAAGGAGACCAGAAGAGGGCATTGGATTCCCTAAAGCTGGAGTTACTGGTGATTGTGAGCCACCTGAATGGGTGCTGGCATTTGACTGGGGTCCCCTAGAAGAGCAACATGGCTCACAACCATCTATAATTACAGTTCTAGGGGATCTGACATAATCTTCTGACCTCCACTGGCACCAGGCATTAATGAGGTACACATACAGATATTCAGGTAAAACACTCATATACCTAAAATAAAATAATCTAAAAAATAATTTTGCACTTGGGAGGCAGAGACAGGCAGATTTCTGAGTTTGAGGCTAGCCTGGTCTAAAGAGTGAGTTCCAGGACAGCCAGAACTACACAGAGGAATCCTGTCTTGAAAAACCAAAAAAGCCAGGCAGTGGTGGTGCACACCTTTACTCCCAGCACTTGGGAGGCAGAAGCAGGCGGATCTCTGAGTTCGAGGCTAGCCTGGTCTACAGAGTGAGTTCCAGGACAGCCAGGGCTACACAGAGAAACCCTGTTTCGAAAAACCAAACCAAAAAAAAAAAAAAATTTAATGACATAGAAATGTTGAAAATACAAGGTATACCCAAAGGTGTAGCATATAGACACTAGCTAAAAGAAAACCAGGGAGATACACTAATACTGCAAGCGTTTTTAAAAATAATACTGCAAGCTTTAACAATCATTAAGATGAGTTTCTTTCTTTTTTCTTTTTTTGTTATGTTTTATTTTTGTTTCTTCGAGTCAGCCTACTTTGAAGAATCACCTGGTTGTCAGCCATGGAAAGAGCAAGTTTTATCTGCTTAAGATAACTGGAAATTAAAAAAAAAAAGATAACTGAAAATGCAGGTCTTTAGTTTCTGTGAGTTCATGTCATTGCACAGAAAACTTAAGGTGGGAACCTACAGATCACATCTGGATGGAAGCGTATTAAGATCCTCACTCTATGTAAGCACTGGAAGATTTCTTCCCCCTCCAAAACCAAACCAAACCAAAACACAAAATGATTGATAGTGAATGGAAAGATATAAGGAACTGATAAGTGATAAAATTGTGAGGCTATTATTTATAAAGCTGAAAGAAAAACATTAGGTTGTCATTAGTTAAACTCTTCATTTTAGAAATAGCTGATATTTTTTATGACAATAACTGGTTTAGTTTGGGGGCAGCCAAGGCAGGTGAATCTCTGTAAGTTCAGGGTCAGCCTAATCTACATAGTGAGCTCCAGGACAGTGGGAATACATAAAGAGACAGATCTTAGCCGGCGGCGGTGGTGGCGCACACCTTTAATCCCAGCACTTGGGAGGCAGAGGCAGGCGGATTTCTGAGTTCGAGGCCAGCCTGGTCTACCAAGTGAGTTCCAGGACAGCCGGGCTATACAGAGAAACCCT